GATTCTGATAGTATGGAGCACTGTTTTTATAAAACAAAAACAAAAACAAAAAAAATTGTGAGTGAAACCTAAATGAAGATACAATATAAGAAAGTATTTCCCAAACATTGTTTGGGATATTAGATATCCACATCCTGGGAAACTTGCTGGAGCCAATAAAAAGTAAGATTACAATTGAATAGGCATGTTTTAAAAAGAAAATTTAAAAATGGAAGTAAAATGGGAGTTTATACTACTTGTACAAGGAAAGATACTAGGAACTCTGGAGAATATGTTTACATACAGGATTCCACCTCTAGTTTCCTTTATTGAGTTTCTCTTGAAGGGAATCCAGAATTTTGTACTTTGAAAAAAAGCTAGAGATATATGAAAATGTCACTTCTAGCATTTCTTCATTTGTCCAGCATTTCTGATGGAGAAAAGGAATTGCTATTGGACACAAAAATATGAAGAGCTAACTCTCACTAAGAGAAACTGTCACTAACAAAGGAACCAGACCTTCAAGAATCAGGGCTATCGGGGGAGCCAAACATGGTTTAAGGTGAAAAACTGTAAGAAAGGCACATTTCCAAGTTAACTTTGTTCAGGATGGCAGAGGGAACAAACATACCAGAAGCTGCCCAGACAATCTTTCCCATACCGTATTGTATGTCAAGTCACTGTCACTGTTCTAAATATGTGTCAAGTCACTGTCACTGTTCTAAATGTATGTCAAGTCACTGTCACTGTTCTAAATGTGTGTCTGCATGTTCAAAATATATGCAATTCTTGGCATGTCTTTAAGGGTGCTGAGTCCTGCCTTTGAATGATGTATTTCGTCTATCTTGGCAGTGAATAAATGGCCACCCCGGGATAGTAGTGGGAATTGTGTACGTGAGATATTTACAAGATATCAAATCTATATAATCAAATGTTGAAGCCTCTGTTCTCCATTTTGGTTAGATGAAGTGTATTAACAGGAGTTTTCTTAGTTCTAATTAATATATATCAATGCAGGACTGTAATGTTTGACAGTAAAAAATAAATCAAGAAACAAATGAGGGTATGAGGATGGAAGGAAGCAAAAAAAACCAGTCCTCCAGTTTTTCAAAACAGACAGAATTACAGAGCAGAGAGGGAGGCTGCATTTCAAATGAAGTGATGTTCGTGCTTTGTCTAAAAACAAATCCAATTATTATCATTAGAATGTGAATTCTAAATGTGTGAGGAATGTTCTGTTTTTACACCAAAAGTATTTTGAGGTGTAACCTTTTTTATGTTCAATCTTTGTAGCATTTAGTGTCACAAGGAGAATTAAAACATATTATTAATTCTTCCAGCATTGCAATGTGAAAGAAGCAGTTGGTTATTTTGGAAAGTGAAAAAGCAAGACAAGACAGGATAAAATGTTGGATGAGCCATAGCTTTGATAAGAACCTAACAATAAAAGGATTACCTTGTTTCTTTTGCTTTTGAAATCATAGACATCCAAAATAATAGACCGCCTATGTCTTGTAACAAGAAGAAACAAGGAGCTTTGCTTTATTTGTTTGTTTGTTTGTTTGACAGAATCCTAAATGGCTCTGGGAAACTTGCAACTAAAACTTCCTTTCTTTCACTGTAAATCCCTCATCTTTGGAATTTCCTCCCTCTTCATTTTTTTCCAACCTGGTACTCTTTTATTTATTATTTATATATTTACTTATTTCATCAAGCATGTATTAGATAACAGATATAAGAATAGACATAATTATGAATACATGAGATGGATACAAATAAAAGGGAACATTAGGATAGGGACGGTAGGGACGCTGGTGTGCTTAAACACGCCCCTTACAGACCTCTTAGGAATGGGGTTGAAAGTAGACAGTCTAAGGTTAAAGTTTTGGGGGTTTGGGGGAGAAACCAGAGAGTCAGGTAGTGCATTCCAGGCATTGACCACTCTGTTGCTGAAGTCATATTTTCTGCATATTGAGCCACCCAAATTTCCATGATCACACTGATGGACCTTGTGAGAGTTTTAGTCTTAACATATCAAGGGAGGAAGGTTTAGTAGTTCCATAATTCTATCATTCTGACAAATAATAATCGTTTTCATCTATTGGTCTTCCTGTATTGATTATTTCTTTCTTTGATTTTGCATGTGTCTATCTGATACTTAACTCACTATTTTTTTCATTCTTCCTTAAAAATGTGAATTTTAATGCCTGAATTTAGACTTTCTATTTAAAAGTATTCGGTGTCATTCTGGGTTCAAAATCACTCTCTTTCAACCTTAGGAAGGAGGCAAAGGCAAACCACTTCCAATGTATCTTACCAAGAACTTAATGTCACATAATTAGTCGAATATTATAGATATATAGTTTTCCATATCTTTGCTAAACATTTACTCCCTGGTAATGTAGAAAAAGATGGGGTCTGTTTCATCCCCTTATACCATTGATAAGGTTATACTGAGTGTGGCCAGCAATAAAGTGCAGAAATATATCTGTGCTACCCAGTGGTGGGTTTCAAAATTTTTTACTACCAGTTCTGTGGCCGTTTCTTGTTGGGAATGGCAGGGGAAGGATACTGCAAAATCCCCGTTTCCTCCCAATCAGCTGGGACTCGAGAAGCAGAGAATAGATGGGGGCAGGGCCGGTCAGAGGTGGTATTTACTGGTTCTCCAAACTACTCAAAATTTCTGCTACTGGTTCTCCAGAACTGGTCAGAACCTGCTGAAACCCACCTCTGGTACTACCCCTAAGAAAGATTCTGAATTGCTAACTTGCTTTCCTACAGAATATGGAGGATCTACATGCTTCAATGCTTCTTGTGTTTGTTAATTATCTCCCTTTTTAATATCTTTTAGCACTTGTAAGATAAGTTTGATATTAGAAGTAGTACCCTGAATTTTCAGTGGGAGTGAGGAGAGTTGGTTGAAGAGATTAAATGCAGCGTAGAAGGACTGAATGTTAGGCAGAATAGAAAGTGTGAACTTAAATTCTCAATAAGAAAATCCCTCCTGGTTTAACTTCTTTGAATTAAAGGAAGCATATTTAATCTGCAGAATAATTATGTTTACTTCAATCTTTATTTATTACAAGGAGCGTGCTTTTGTCCAGATAAAATTCCTTTTTGGTTTGGGAGAAAAATGCAAAATTGCTCCGGCATTTAGACATAATACTTATACAATTGAAATAGATCTTTGCTTGCTTCACGTGCCATTAAAATCTCATGGTAAGATCGGATCACCTAAAATGCTTTAAGTTAGAACTAGAAGGAGAATTGCATTTTATGGTTTCTTTGTCTTCATTGAAGGCTTTCAAACAGAAACTGCATAGCCATCTATCAGGGATGGTGAAGTTAATCCTACAGTGTGTAGGGGGTTGATGACCTCTTAGCTCTCTTCCAACCCTATGATGATCTGATGGAAAAGAAGTGCTTAATGGTTAGCTAAGGAGTATTTGCCCTGAAAGATCAAAACAGTCTATGGAGATTCTCAATCATCCAAGTCATGGTTGTCCTGAAGTACTTTTCAAAAGACAACCGGACTTTCTGTGTTTTTTTTCTTGAAAATGTTTCGTTTCTCAACAAAACTTTTTCAAGAAAATGTTTAAGAAGCTTCTTGGATGAGAAGTGAAAAGTTTTCAGGAAAAATACAAAGTTCAGTTGCCTTTTGAAAAGCACCTTTGGGACAAACATCTGTTTTCAAATCTCTCAAGTGTTGTGTAGTATTGTACCAGGGTTCAGTCTTAAGTAGTTCTAATAATATTGTGGTTGCCAACTATACAGTGAACTAAGAAGGGAAGGTTTTTATGACAAGGAGATTGAAGACAAGTGTACTTGCATTGTTTCTAGAGAAATGTTGTAAATAGGAATTTATTATGAATTTTAGGGAAGGGAGTTATTTGGCAAGACGATAATTTGAAAGACCAAATATTGAAGGAGAACAGCAGGAAAGCTTACATATAATAAGCCTCAGACTTTAAGATTGGATTACAAGGAGATTTTCCAAGCTATCAGCATAGATGTGGGAATAAGGGTAAGAAATGAAAGAAGAATATGCTGTATGCAGGAGGGAGAGAGGCTCTGGGCATCTGTGTTTTTCAGAGCGTGGGAACCTTTAATTAAAACATGTGATTGCTGCTACTTCAGTGAGACTTGACATGTGACCAACAGTTCATAGCATCCAAATTCATCTTCACAGTTCTCGGTTATCCATAGCAGAATCCCGTTCCCTAAATTGGCCAATTGCAGTTTTGTAAAATATCCTGGCTGGGAGTTGTTTTTCTCATATGGCATTTAATTCACCATTTACTGCTGTGCATACTTTTGCTTTGTCACGAATGTTGCTCTCACTGTAATATGAGAGTAAAAATTAGATCAAATTCCATCAAGAAAAAGGAATAGCAGCTGGCATGGGGAATTCTGTGACCTCCACAATCATCTTAGCACATGTATATGCTCCCTTAAAGCATGTGTAAAGTCTACATTAAAATATGTCAGCTTCCTGCTACATAATATGGCTCAAATGGAAATGAGGTTGTTATATTATCATCAAGAGGTTTATTCATTAACCTTCCAAAAGAAGGTCTGAACTCCATGGTTCTTTTCTTGCATATTAATAAAAGACAGCTAATGTAAAAGCCAGTTTGGTGTGGTGCTTAAAGCAACAGGCTAGAAACTGGGGGCCTATGAGTTCTAACCCTGACTTAGGTACAAAGCCAGCTGGGTGATCTTGGGCTACAGGTAGTCCTCAATTTATGTCTGTTTATTTAATGACAATTTCAGGTTATGAGGGCCTTACCACCCTCATCAAAGTTACAACCATCATATCACCCCAGCAGTCCATGTGATTGCAATTTGGATGCTTGTTAATCAGCTCACATTTATGATGGATACAGTGTCCTGCAATCACATGATTGCAATTTGCGAACTTCCCAGTAGGCTTCCAACAAGCAAAGTTAATTGGGTAAAGTGGATTTGCTTAACAACTGCGTCATTAATGCCCTCTGTAAAAATAGTCATGAAATCAGATCTGGTCACATGAAGATTCCTTTAATGACTGCATTGATTAGTGAAGTGAAAATCCAGTCCCAGCTGTGGCTGTATGTTGAACAATACCTGCAGTCAATTTCTCTCAGCCCTAGGAAGGAGACAGTGGCAAATCACTTCTGAAAACTCTTGCCAAGAAAACTGCAGGGCCTTGTCCAGACACTTTCTGAGAATTGGACATGACGGAATGGTAGAAGAAAAAATATAGAGTCAAAAACTGAGCCCCAAAGGCCCAAATTTAAGTATTACCTCTGCCATAAGCTTAGACAATAATACAAATCTTCCTTATTGTTTTGTTGTAAGTGTGTAAAATAGTATTTGAAACAAGTATTCCTCAACTTCCAGAGGGGGGAGGGGAAAATGCTAGCAAATGCCACTGTTCTGAAAGGCTCAGGACACTGATGGTTAGGGGAAAATTCTGACATTTGCTAACGTTTTGAGCCTTCCAGAACAATAGCGTTCACCAGTGTTTTGCCAGATTTGTGGTCTGCCCCTCAGTACCCTGGAGAAATGAACCTCAAATGTTTGAAAATGCTAGCAAATACTAGGTTATTGTGATTTCTCTCTCCGGTCAGGCAGGGAGAGGACCTGAGCAACCGGTTGTGTTGGGAGGCCTGAGCTTTCTCTCTGCCAATCAGATCATGGAGGCCTGGGCCCTCTTCCTGACATTCTGATGAATGATGCACACGGTTGCTTAATAACCGCAACTGGGAGAGCCAAGATTGTGGGTTTTGAGCGAAGTGGTCAGGTGGCATCTCACTTAATGACCATTTCATCAGTGACTGAGATTCTGGGCCCAATTGTGGTTATAGGTGGAGGATTATCTGTATGTCCAAAACTGTATGATGATATTGTTAGTAATGGGATTGTCCTTCTTCTTATTCATTCTTGTTTGATTCTCTCCGTTAACACAACAATCCCAGTCGCCATGCTTTCTACCCCATTCTGTTTCATACCTGTCCATAAACCTGTCCATTTCTGCTTGTTTGTTACACCTTTCTACCAACCTTGATTGTTTTCTTAAGGGAAGGTTTAACCCTGGTGTCACTATTCAAAGAGAACCTTGAAGAAAAATTCCTCTGGATGAATCTAAACGGAATTTCTTTTTTCTTCTTTTTTTCTTTTCTGTTTAGGAATGGTCAGAAGAAATCTTCAGTCTGGCAACAAACCTGTTGGCACAGAACATGTCCAGGGATGCTTTTCTGGAAAAAGCGTAAGTACCAAAATCCTTATTGTGCGGGAAGTTGCTTCAGTTTTTTATGTGTCAGCTTCCCTTTTTTTTTTTTTTTTTTGGAAAGAATTATTGCTACCAATTGTTTTCATGATGATGGATTACTGCCTCTCTAAACATGCTTTTTCCTCCTTTCTCACTGAGATAGCAAACTGAACGTCTTTTTAGAAAGAGAACTAAGAAGCTCAGCCATGATGACTCAAATAGGTGTAGTCTGAGCTTTTGTTAGCACCATCTTAATACTTTATGTAATACACTTCCTATTCTAGTAATGAATATACAAGAGGAGTCACAGTAGCAGATAGTGTGCTAAGAAACTCTCTAATTCATGTTTGTGGCCCAAAAATATAGTTCATAATCAAGGTATGTATTCCTGATTGTGAAGTATTTGGATGCAGAAGCCCACAATTTTGTCATTTAGCTTATGCATGGGGAGGAGAATCTTTTCATCCTTATTTATGGTTACGTGGCAGAAAGCTCTATTATTCAGGAAGGATCTCTGTGGATACATTTGGCACTTCACGAGTAAAGAAGGAAGTCGGCAACATCCTGAGAAATCTCCTGAGAACCTTGAGAGATGTTCTACTAAAAGTTAGAGTAGGAACCTGAACTAAGTTCTTTAAACAATCGGCTTGAATCCTTCAGCAGTAGGGATTCATAAGACACCGAGTCTGTTCTGTTTTTTAGCAGTAGATTCGTGATCAGACAACTTCTCCAGATTTGACTGGGAGCAGATGGATATGGCACTTACTTTATAATTTTTATAAGACAGCAGGAGGGTCTGGTCTTTTTTTATAAAAAATGAAAATCTTATCCACTTAAAGTTATACACTGCTCTGTTAGAATGTTGGGGCTCCTTTTTCAGTATGTCCTGAATGAACATGTGACTACCACTAGCTTATATATCTTTCTTATATCTAAGAAAGATATAAAAGACTTTTCAGCATGGAACTACAGGAGCAATCTCCATCCTCCACTACCACCAGCCAACTTTTTCCTCCGGAGATTGATTCTGGCAGTTCCCTGGATAGATCCAGATTTGAATCCCAGTAGAATTCTGGAAAAAATTCATTTGAATCTTCACTTCAATGGATCTGCAGCGGTAACAATATTTAGTATGCATTACCTTAAACCTGCTGGTCAACACAGCATAAATAATAGTAGCCAGTTCTAAAACTATATTCATTTTCTTATCGATTGGCTAGTTGAAAACTGACAGATCTGGATTCCTGATACTGCTGCTTAAGGTTATAAACAACAAATGACAGGCTTATCTCCTTATGATGTGCTATCTATTACCATGTTTCCCTGAAAATAAGACCCTGTCTTATATTTTTTTGAGCCCTGAAATAAGTGCTTGGCCTTATTGCCATGCGCTCAAAAGCCTGATTGGGCTTATTATCAGAGGATGTCTTATTTTTGGGGAAACAGGGTATTAGCTGAACAATAAAGGGCTACAAATTTCCCCCTCCCTTTCTTAATTGCCTGTTCCTTTGCCCTCAGAAGCAAATAACTGTAAATCTGTTCCTGTGAAGTCTGTAGGCACGATGTGTTGATCCAGAAGGCTTTGAAACAAAAGCACAAAGGGTGGTGTTGATGACAACATCCTGGGGCAAAAATAGTTGGCATTTTTTTTCAGCTTAAAGAGGAAACGCCTAAATATACCCAAGTTTATCTACAGTCATGCAGATGACTGAGCAAGAATAAACGGAGATATATTTAAACTACATGTTACACACAAGCATATGTAATGAAATCCTGGTGACATTTTTAAAAAAATGCTGTTTTTCGGTAGAAAAATTAACAGCTCTTCACACACCACATGTTCCATATGGATATTTCCTGCACTGTAGATGAGAAGTCCTCAACTCCCGGGCTGCAGCCCACTACTGGGCTGTGGCCAATTTTTAACTGGGCCCCATGAGCAGCAGGCTGGCGTGCATGCATGTGTGCACAATTTGATTTGTGCGAGCGGCAGGCCAGCATGCGTCCACGTCAGAGGTGGGTTTCAGCAGGTTCTGACCAGTTCCTGAGAACCGGTAGCGGAAATTTTGAGTAGTTCAGAGAACTGGCAAATACCACCACTGGTTGGCCCCAGAGTGGGGTGGGAATGGAGATTTTGCAATATCCTTCCCCCAGGAGTGGGGAAGGAATGGGGATTTTGCAGTATCCTTCCCTTGCCACGCCCACCAAGCCATACCACGCCCACCAAGCCACACCCACAGAACCAGTAGTAAAAAATTTTGAAACCCACCACTGGTCCACATCTGCACGTGGTTGTACAAATTGAGCTGTGTGTGCTTGTGCGCTGGCCCGTTGCTCATGCAACCCAGTTCCCCCCACCCAACAAAAGTTGGGGACTGCTGCTGTAGATGAATCCTTTTTGAAAAATCTACTGGATTAGAGTAATGCAAAGAATGAAATCGTTGATATTCAGATTTAGGTTCCACTAAAGAAGTACAGATGAACTGCATTGCCAAGATTTCTCGAACTGTTTGATGAATTAACTGGAATAATAATAATGTTTTCTTTAAACCAAAATTATAAATATTATACTTATAATTTAATAAGTTGTAATGTGTAACCTGTTTATATCACAGGAGAATAGACAAGGGATATTCCAATAAGAAAAGGAGAAGGATTTGCTTGAAGATTAAGTGAATGTGGAGAAAAGGGCAGTTGAAATTTTTCAGCAGAAGGGTTTAATCCTGCCTACAGCTATTTTCATTTCCCCCCTTTTTTTTCTCACTCCCAAGCCAGCTTCTTAACTTCAGAGGGTAAAACTAGTGAAAAACATTGGAAGCATAGTATCACCTTTCTCTTCCCATCATTTCTGCGACTCCTGACAGCTTGATTCATTATGTATAAGGTAGCTGTTGTATATCATATACTCACAGATAAGCCAAGAATTTTAGATCCTCAAATACATCCCCAAAACTGGATTCAGTTTATCCATGGATAGGCTTATCCACGAGTGTATACAGTAATAAGCTTTTGTGAAACAATGTAGATTAATTTCAAGTGAGTGTTTTGGGGCAGTGGAGATGGCGTCATTGGATCTGGGAAAGCAAAGAGGCCATTTGATTTAATTGAAGCAATCTGCAGGGCCTCAACCACTTCAGATCAGTGCTTCGAGAAAAGGCTCTTATCAATCCCCTCTTTCATTACTGGCTAAAGTGCTTTCAAACTGGGTGGCTTTGGGATTGTCTACAAAATGAAGTAGAGTTAGCCTGCCTACAACAACTTTGGTCAGTGCAGAGGGAGCTTTAGGCAGGGCAGCTCTATCGTGCAGTGTGGTACCCAGCCAAGTGATTATTGTGGTAAGCACTGCAGACATACTTGTCTCCTACCGATTATTCACCAATACTTACTAGGCAGTTTACCTTCTGGATGCACTACATCCAGATTCAGCAGAATGGGCAGATCCCATCAGCCATAGAGTGTCGGCTGTGACTAGAACACAGATTTATTCCACAGTGGTCCCTGCTCTTCAGAGATCAGAATGGCCCCAACCCTGTTAGCCTTTCATAAGACCTTAAAAACCTGGCTGCGTTCCCATGCCTGGGGTGCTGAATGTGTTAAGGGCTCCGTTTCCTAGCTATATTGCTAACTGGCCAAGTATCTCAACTGCTATGTATATTTATTTTGGCCATTTCTATTGTTTCTACTATTTCAAAATGTTTTAGTATTTTGATAGTAATATGTATTTTTTTTTTAATTGTAAGCCCAGTCATTGACTGAGATGCATGGCTATAAAAATTGAATACTTGCATGCATACATACATGAATACATATAGAAGGCATCTGGTGAACATTAATAGGCCTGTTCTGTTTAAGTAAAGTATCCCTTCAAAAACTTCACGGTGCCATATGTTATTTACATTTATTTCCAATTAAGCAGTTGAGCCTGTCCCTCTGTTTTTACCCTACATTCCTACTTCTGAAAGAGAAATGACTTTTTCACGTGGCTATAGAGGGTCCAAAAGCCACCCTGATAAGAGTGAACTGTTTGAATAGAAATGTGCCATAAGCAGCTTGAATGCAAGAACTTGGAACTCACCTAAAAGATCATCAAGTCCATCTGTCCACTGAAGGATTCTGTCAGCACTTCAACCTGCATTTACTCTAGTGCACAATCTCTGCTTAGTGAAGTTTTCCAGTTTCCCATATCCATGACCTGTCTTTTTAATGAACAGAGTACAGATTTGTATTCTGTACAATACAGAATTCATATATGTATAATAGAAACATGTAAGAATAGTGTAAAACAAACCAATTTGAACAAAATTCTGTTTTTGTTTTAAACACTGGGGGGACTCGATTATTCCCTGAGAAGGTGCACTTAGAAATGTCATTACAGGTAAAGATCATTTTCTTGATGTTTAGATGCATTAAGCTTTTCTTGGAAACAGTTTGGGTGAGATTACAATTTTCTTCAATAGAACAAAGTACAAGGTTGTTTTATGGTAAACAATAGATAAAGCAAGTTCTAATATTGTGATTGCAAATAATTTCTCACCAGCACATTATTTTGTTCCTTAGGTACACAAAACTTAAATTGCAAGTCACTACAGATGGGCGTATCCCTTTGAAGAAGTAAGTTGGGTTCCATTGTGTCATTGCATGTTCTACAGTATTATGAAACTCACTTTCTAGGCACCATTTAAAAATAGAAGCATGCCGTGAAATTTCATTATTGTGCAGTGCTTTTCACTTTATGATGGTCAAGCTGTGTCTGGATTATACCATTTCAGATTGTAAATGGGGGAAGGGGGTGTCTTTGGTTGTTTTACCATATACAAAATAATTCACTCTCCTCTTCTGCAAACCACACACAGACATGCCAACATAGTTAGCATGTGACAAAGAAGGCATTACTGAAAACTTTTGTTGTGTAAAAGAAATATAAGTACACAAGGGCATTCAGTTGTATGAAGCTTCCCAAGGGTTAAACATACATTGAACCAGAATAATTGCTGTGAGAGATCAAAATATATGGCAAGATGTCAGACTGAAGAGCCATGTTTCTCATATAGCTAGTCTGAAATGCAATATTAATTAGCCCATTACCCATAAGTGCAACTAAATACATTATGACATAACCAATGTTGACGTATGGTCAACTGTTTGTTGATTGATGTTCCCTATGTGGAATAGAAGGAATGGAGAGCATTTAATCCTTTACTTTAGGCAACATAATGCCTCTGGCAAGTCATATAGGTTATCCAATTGTAGTGTAGGAGGGTACAGCTCAGAATTAAATTAATCACCACAGTGGGAACAAAATCTTTGTTTCAGAAATGAGGAATTGGAAAAAACCTTGCCAGAAATGCATAAAAATAAAGTTGAAGAGTGAATCAGATTTATTTTGTGCAAGAGATCAAATGTGCAAGGCCTTTCAGTTTATTTGCTAATGACAGCCCAGTAGTTTCCTAGATTAGTATTTTGGTGGCAGATATGAATGTGAAAGCACTGTGTAGACCATAGATCGATATCAGCCATTTTGGCCTTTAGGATAGGGATGGAAATTAGGTATTGCTGAACCCCAGGTTCCATCAACATGGTTCAAAAGCAAGTGATGGAAGGAGCTGTGCTTCAGAAATATCAGCTGAGTCTCCAACCCAGTTCTAGAATATTATTTGAGCTTGTTTGGGAAGGGAATGTGCACGGTGATATATGCAGAACTGAAAGGGCAATAATTATCTCTTAGCAAGTTCATTCTAACAGGATCATCCACCCATCTACCTACATCCAAATGTATCTTACTAATATATAAAACTCGGTTTGAAAAATTTTGCATCGTAAGCGTCAGAGACTTAACATTGCTTGTGTCACCTTGTCCAAAATAATGCAGGGTATCTGATTTTTTTCTGTAATGTCTGAATTGGTTCTAAAGTTAGATGGAGAGAAATGATATTCTCTGATAAATTTAGATGCCACTGAGTATATGAATATAGAGGCAGCCAAGTACAGAAATTCAAAAGAAAAGAAAAGGAAGGAAGGAAGGAAGGAAGGAAGGAAGGAAGGAAGGAAGGAAGGAAGGAAAGAAAGAAAGAAAGAAAGAAAGAAAGAAAGAAAGAAAGAAAGAAAGTGTGATACTAGCAAACCAAGAATGTATGAGGGATTATTGAAGAGTATTTCTCTTTTTTTCTATTTTGCAGTATTTATCGCTTATTCTCCTCTGACAGAAAGCGTGTTGAGACTGCATTGGAAGCTTGTAATCTTCCATCTGCTAGAGTAAGTATTGAAACTTTTTTTGCCTGGTTTTAATAAGAAATGTTGGCCTCCGCTTCCCTTCCAGGCATACAATCCAGGTACTCTGATGTTAGTTCTAGTGTGTGTCAGTTCTAGAATTTTTCATGCACCAAGTTTGTATGCTTGTCTCTAGGTACATCCTATTGTTCAGCATTCTAATAGGATTCCAGCTTGGCAAATTTGCTGTATCTACCCTTAGCTGGCTTATTTACTGAAAGATATTGGCTGCTGTTTTAGCGAGCAGCACTGGGGTAGGAAAAAGAAAAATATGTCAGAGCCTCAATAGGGATTTAAATGTTTTGGAGAAATATATTCAGCAACAAGGCAAGAGAATATCATGTCATACGTTTCCTCCAAACAACCTAAAGTGTTTGATTTGAATCTTAAGGAAGAAATGCTCTAAGAATGGTTCTCAGTGTCACTTCCTCTCCTACACATTTTGGAGAGTGAAATCTTGAATTTGAAATTATGTATCCACTATCTTTCCAATTAGGTTGGTTGACAAAACTTTTTAAGGACTACATTATAAAATATCAATTAAGTAAAAATGCAATGTGAATCTTTAGACGTTAAAGTTAAACAGTAGAAACCAAAAAAAAAAAAATGATAAAAAATTTATCTTTGCCAGAGAAAACCTGTACAGAAACAGAATTTGTAATAAGTGCTTAGGAAAATAAACCCTGATTACTGATAGCCAAACAAGAGATGAAGAAACTCCTGGGTGGGTGGAATTGAAAGAGCCTGGTGAGCAGAAGTGTGAGGATAAAGGATACGTTGCCAACTTTTGGTTTAATTAATGTGGAATTTATCTTTGTGGAAGGAGAAAAATATAAAGTTATTTAATTAATACCTTCAAGTACATCCTGATCTGTGCTGACAGTAGACAAAAGCATTCAATATGGAAAAATGTCTCATCAGTCTCTTCCTGCAGGCAACATTGATTCCTTTTGATGGGGAGAGACACTGAGGATTATCTGATTAGTAAGCTTTCCTCCTACATGCCACAAAAATGCATATGGGATGTTAAGAATTCTACCAAAAAAAATTTTTTTTTAAAAGGCACCAGCAAGAAAAATATTATGCAGCTTTAACAGTATAAAAAGGAAGGGAAATTACCATGACAGAAATATGCAAGAACTGTTACATAAGCAAAGAGGGCTGAAGATTATGTCCTGGGAAATAAGATAATATTCAGAAGCAATTCAGGCAGGCTCCCTCTGATTCATTGGGATAAATTTGGGGAGGAGTTACAGCACAATCAGGCTGGCAAGCTTCTGTTATTATAGCCTATCTCAATAAGATATAGCTTTAGTCTTCCAGTAGAGTTGATTTTCTATTCTGGTCTACCTAGTAGGTTGACTGATAGCCACCCACAAGCTACAAAGCTGAAGTTGGGCACATTTAATATCAAACCAGCAATGTTGAGAGAGGAAGTGGTATTCCAGATACTCTAGTTCAAGATGGCCTCTGGCTTGTTCATTCAAAATCAACATTCTGCCCATTTTGGATGGCCAATGAAGTTATTTATCAAGTGATAGAATGTGTATTTTTCTCCCTCTTCCTATTGAAAGCTTCACAGCTGAAGTTTTTGGGTTATTCTTGAAAGTCAGCCCAATATGAAATGCAGATATCTTAAGAGGGGAAGCAAATGTGAAACATCACTTGATCTTTCTACTGGCTCCTGGGAATTTTTCCAGTCACTGGGATGTTGTGGGGGAAAAGGCCCTATCTTTAAAAAACAAAAACCCAGAAGAAAGTTGACAACAGTATCTTTTATCTAGCCAGCTCTTATTACCTTGGTAGTTGTACAAAGCAAAGAAATAAATGGCTCTAGCTTTTCTATCTTAGTATTTCTCTCAACACAGCAGTATTCAAGCAAACCAGACCTACGTTTGCTACATTTTTGTCTATTTCAAAAAAACCTTTTATGTTTACTTTGACATTTCAGGTGTAGCTTCCTATGAGCAAAGATTGTTTACCCATCCACTCTATAATTTTGCATTAGTTTAATTACTTTTGTTATCTCTTGTGCTACTTTTTACATTTCTGATAATGTAGTATATTATATAGTGTATTACAGCAAAAATTTGTCAGTGACTCTCCCGAAGAATTAACTGTTGAATGTCCTAGAGAAATAGAGTAAAAATTGTGAATCAGAAACCCATTAAAATATATTACTTAGTGCAAAAAGCTAAATATTATATGGTTCACATCCTTCATTCACAATGAACTGTAATCATTGTTAACATTCAGACCTTAGAAGCAGAATGTGAATTTTTAATTTGGAGTGTGTACCATGTCATCCTCATTTTACCGACCATTCATTCAGCAACCATTTGAAATTACAGTGGTGCTGAAAAAAACTTTACAGCTCATTTACTGCCTCCACAGCATACCTCAATCACATGATTGCCATTATAGGCAGTACAACTTTTATGCCTGACCTGTAGTTTCTTCTCCCCCATCCCCTGCAAAGCAGAGATATTGGAGAGGAAGGGATTTCACTACAGTAAGAGAGCAGCAAAATTGAAGAGAGAGAGGGATTTCAAGAGAGTAATCTATTAGCTTTTCTATACATCAAAAGCAATGTCAAATTGGCAGTCTGAGGCTGGGATCCATTGGCATGCTACACAAACAGTTTACAGTGCTCTCTTGAAATCTTTTTCTCTCTCTTTCTTCTCTGTAAAACGGGTGGGGGAAGAGAAAAAGCAAGCAATTTCTGTAGGCAATCTCATCTTTGCCTGACCTTTTCCTGCTGCCACTGTGGTTGCATTATTCTCAGTTTGTGGAAGAGCAAACAGCTACTCTCATGAAATCTCTTTTGGTCCAGTTCTCTGTTCTATCACTGGTTATCATCTAGTTAAGAAAATAGATTAGGTTTGGGAGACCCAGTTCAATTGGTCCCTCCCAAGCAAACCTATAGGAC